TTTTCTTTTAAAGGATGAGAGCTATAATGATATACTATTCTGTTATGAAGCAAGATAACATTCCCTGTGAGCATTTTTTAAAAATGTGAACATCCCATTTATTGCTACTTTTGCAGATGTAGCGAGGGCATATTGCCTTAATAGATGCTACACAAATACAGTTCTGATCTCAGTGTAAAATGAGGTTTTACAAGCACACTATGGGCTGGTTTTCACTGTTCCATGTTCTTTCATATACTGCGCCCTTCAAATCATCTCTGTGATTTAACCAAGTGAGCCAAAAAATACTGTTCCATTTGTTCTGTTCTAATTTCCAGGACAGTAGATTAAACTGTCTGATGGAGACTGAGGGTGCATGCAGGAATGTACTGGGTCATTCATTACAGCCTACATATAATCTTGGGCACAGGCATAGATGAACTTCGGGATGTCTTGAACATCATCATTGGCTTGAACTGGCCCTAAATTAGGGACAGAGAGCCTTCAGCTCTCCCATTGTTGATGAACTACTAATGGCTTATAGGAAGTATTTGCCTGAAAGAATATAGAAATCAGTCACAAGGCAATTCAGCCCATTTGTTTCAATCACTTGATGGCTCAGAGTTTTTCAAACACCAATCTAAAAATGATTTCAATGTCCCCGTAGTCCTTTCTGCAAATAGCAAACTGACATTTGGATACTGGCATTGAAATATTAGATGGGCTTTTCAATGATGAAGAAAGATGGTGGTGGTGGGACATGTGTGGAATGCCTGGTGCCATTTTATTTATCTTCTTCCCACGCAACAGTTTCTCCTTTTATGATTTCTCTTGAGACAATACAATTTGAGCACATCAGCTGGCAATGCAGAATCCTTCATTGCACCAAGAAGCATAATATAGAAAAAGGCCTCAGTAGATCTGTCTCTGTCAATTACTTTGGTTCCCTAATAATCTTAAATTTACCAGTGAGATTCAATATGCTTGCACTGCATTTCCAGTTGCATCAAGAAAGGATCAAAGTCCTGACTTGAGTTCTCTTCTGCCACTGACAACCTTTTATCTAGTCTTTACACCTTTGCCTGTGGGTGAATCCACACAAAGATACTTCCCATGGATGTGAATGTTTCAGCATTTTTAAAAAAGTCACCCTGTTTCATGTTAAATTGATGTGTTGTTGTTATTGTTTTTAATCATCTTTATAATCTGCTTTTTCACCAAGATTGGGACTCAAAGCAGCTCATAAATGAAAATGATTGCAATAAGTTAAAGACATACAAAAAAAGTCAACACTGAAACTGAACTGAACTATTAACAAAATTAAAACAATTTTAAACAATACAGCACAATCTTAAATGCCCTTTCCTTATAAATGTCCAATTCTAAAAACCTGTTAGGAGGAGGAGGAGAAGAAGAAGGAGGAGGAGGAGGAGGAGGAGAAGGAGACGTATTCATCTCTCATTGCCAATGGGATAGCAAAGAGGGAGTTATAGTCTGGTCTCCTTAGGGAAAGAGTTCCAGAGCCTGAGGGTAGCCACTGAGAAGGTCCTGTCTCATGTCTCCACAGCTGTACCTGTAGTGGGACTGGATGAAGGGCCTTCCCAGAGGATATCACAGCCTGGGCAAGCTTATAGATAAGAGATATGATCTGTCAGATATCTTGAACCTAAGCTATATAGGACTTTATAGATCATAGGATGGAGGAAGCTTGTTTGCTGTTGCTCCAGAGACTGAACATGGAGCAATGGATTAAAGCTACAGAAAAAAGAGGTTCTACCTAAACATTAGGAAGAACTTCCTGATGGTAAGAGCTATTTGACAACGGAACATGCTGCCTCAGAAAGTAGTGGAGTCTCCTTCTTTGGAAATTTTTAGACAGAGGCTGCATGGTCATTTGTCAGGAGTGCTTTGATTGTGTATTCCTGGAAGGGTTTGCTCCCTTTTGTACTTGCTCCCTTTTGTACTTCAGTGAGCAGTGTGTACCTACTAGGAGTCCAAACAGGGAAACTCAGAGAGGTCACACAAACCCACACAACTGCGGACCCTCTTCTCTGCTACCTCTCCAGCTACAGAGCTAATTTAACCCCCTACATACATACAAACACACACATGCCAAGGAGATACAAAACAAAACAAGTCAAAAATTTGGAACATGCTCAGACTCTGGCAACTGCAATAAGTAACAAATCACAATACCTGACTAGGAACTGATGCTTCCAGCAAACTCCTCTCCTCACTCACAGCTGTCTCTTGCCTTGCAAGCAGAATGACTGGAGTCATTTAGGAGCTAGAACATGCTTTCGAACTTAAAAGTAATATGCTTGCTTCTAACATAAATATACCTCTCATACTTTCCCTGCCCCCCATCTAGTGATAAGCAATTAGAACTGTGCCAAAGAGACCAGACAAGCTTTCATTGTATACAAATAATGCCATCTATCATTCTGTGTAATGGGGCATCTACACAGGTGATGTAGAAGGCATAACCTAGTGAACACTTCTTACATTTTGGAATGATTCAGCAGCATGAGGGAATGACAGGCTGCAGAGGAAACTACTGCTTTAGATACACAGAAGTTATAAATGGCTGGGGACAGCCTTTTGGGCTGAAGGGCAGAGTATAACTAATAAGGCAAATGCTCATATAACTTGTAGATGGGAGCAGATGTCATGAGCTCCTATGGTCAGAAGAGGTATCATTGCAATAGCACAACCATCCCTCCAGCCAACAACAGAGGGGGAAAAATTAACCTGTGTATGGATGAATGACAGAAGGCA